TTTGACATATCCCAGCTGATGATAATAATACGCCTTTTCACTCTCATCAGATGTCTGTTCGAGTAATACATTATAAAGTTCTTCAGCTTTATTAAACTGCCCAATTTTGAGCAATAAGTTACCCAATTTCTCCCATTCATTGTCACCAGCAGCTTCTTTCCGTATTCGATCAGTAAGTAATCGTAATTGTGGATCATCGTCCGACGTTAACTCTAATTCAACTTGATAAAGTTGATTGTTATTGTCCATTTGTCTAATTGCACCCACTCGGAAGACGGTATGCATTGAGAAGAGAATTTCATCTTCGTCCTTAAAATAACTCTCCTCTTTGATGGAGGCAAATGATGTTGATTCCAAGCAAGGATCAATTGACATAATGAAAAGAATGCCCACCATATCCGGGTCTGTCGAAGCACCTTGAGCAAAACCGAGAGACACTTCATCATTTTTACTGGTGGACAAGAAATTATTAAATGACATAAGTCCACCTTTTAATTTCTGAAGTTTTTCAAAGTCTGATTTCATAAGACCTTGTCCCCGGTAAACTATGAATGGTTCGCCATGATAACTATGAGCCTGTTGTTGATGTAGCTGTTGAATTTGTTGGTGAAGATCATGGATGAAAAAACCCATATTAATAATAGTATCGCCTTCCATAGCGCGAAGGGCACAATTGAGTATTGAATAGATATTGGATGGGAAAGTATACCACCAAATAGCGGATTGAGCCTGATAGTTTTTCTCAAAACGGTCAATATTGAGTTGTGACATGCTGTTATTTTTTCGACAATAATCAATAAACTGTTTGATCGCCTGTTCATCATGTTTCATATCAAGAAGAATATCCTTGAATATTTGAGTATACATAAATGTTGGCTCTAATTGATTCAAATTACCAGTTGATGCCATTTCGTTTGCCGTAATAAAACTCATGGCAATCGAATCTTGATTGAACTGCTTGATACCGATTTTTAATGATTGGCATAAGTCATCGATGTTAGTATGAACGCTCTTGATTTTTTGCCATTTTGTTGTCCATTCTTCATGTTGGGATTTATTGTTACTGAAGATATAAACACTATGCAATTGAGGGATATCATTAATCAGGGGCATTATTTGTTGAACTGTAGTATTCTTGACAACCAGAAAAGACTTGATGTTTTCTTCGGCATCTGTAAGAAAGTCGATACACTCGTCTCGTTGCCTAAAGATATCGACATTGTCAGTATTGGTTTGTAATTGTGTGAAAAGACTTTGATATTCTTGGTTCGCTTCAGCCATACACTCATCCAAATAGAGAAGCGAATAATTTCGAACCATTCGTCGCCTTTGTTGGATAGTATCCGATTGTATTATGGTCGTGTTGTTGTTATTCATGGACAGGTTTGATGATAAATAAGCTCTTGAATTGGATCTTGATTCACTCGTTTGGTACTTTTTATAATTTGATGTTGAATATAAGCTCAGCAATAATTGTTGCTTTTAGTAAATGGTAAAAAGACTCACCACTCCTATTTATAATAGCAATGGCGTATTTTTTCAATCTTTTTTCGCTTGCCTTAACTAGTTCCTTTTTAAAATAGCGTTATGAAGAACAAGAAATAGATAAGTACAGATAAATTTCTTAACAACGTTTGCGATCGAACGAAATCATTTCGTTTTATAGTTATTCTCTCCAACTTTTTTAGTCTTATCTATACAATTATTTCAGTAATTGAATATGCCACCGATTCTTTATCATTGAAATGAAATAGAAATACAAACATGATTCCTTTAGTGAATGTTGCTTCTCTTTGTCGTACATCATTTGTTAGAACAAAAGGACTGCATCAGAGAACGAGAAATAGATTTTGATTGTGAAATATCGTATAAGCATTGTTGTTTTCTGTTAGAAAAAGAAATGTATTTCATACAAACATATTGAAAATAGTTGTATTGTAAATAGGTTTTAAAAATTACAAAATTGTTAGACCTAAAGATATTAAAAAACTTGCTGATAGATGGTAATGTAGTATATTATCTATCAAATTTGCTAATTCAAGTCTTATTATTTAAACATAGAATACTATTTATGTACGAAGAAAAAAATTATCGAGGGGTGCGTGGATACAGATACAACTTGTATCCACATTTTATACATGTAGATCTGAACAGGTATACATTTACGTGTACTGTTTTATCAGTATATGTATTAATACATATATCAATGTATCAATCAATGTATTCATATATTAATACATGGATACATGTATCGACATGTATATACCTAAAACAACCAGAATTTCATGTATTGATAAATCGATACATGTATCGATACATATACCCATATATATACCCCGAAAAAACGTAGAATTCCAATATTTCATGTATCGATACATGGATACATGTATTAATACCTGAGTACATGTATCAATATATCAATACAACTGTCGATACATGAATACATGTATTGATACACGTACCCATATATATACCCCGAAAAAACGTAGAATTTCAGAATTTCATGTACCGAGACATCAGTACATGTATCGAGACATCAATACATGTATCGACACATTAGTACATGTATCGAGAGATGAATACATGTATTGATACATGTACCCATATATATACCCCCAGAAAACCTAGAATTTCAGAATTTCATGTATCGAGACATGAATACATGTATCGAGACATGAATACATGTATCGAGACATGAATACATGTATTGATACACGTACCCATATATATACCCCGAAAAAACGTAGAATTTCAGAATTTCATGTATCGAGACATCAGTACATGTATCGAGAGATGAATACATGTATCGACACATCAGTACATGTATCGATACATGAATACATGAAATTCTGAAATTCTAGGTTTTCTAGGTATATATATATGTCGATAGATGAATTCATACATGAATACATGTACTGATGTATCGATACATGCTTCAGTACATGAATACATGTATCAACAGATATACCCCTGAAAAACGTAGAATTTCAGAATTTCATGTATTGATACATGGATACATGTACTGGTACATAAGTACATGCATCGACATATATGTATACCTAAAAAACCTAGAATTTCAGAATTTCATGTATTCATGTATCGATACATGTACTGATGTCTCGATACATGAAATTCTGAAATTCTAGGTTTTCTGGGGGTATATATATGGGTACATGTATCAATACATGTATTCATCTCTCGATACATGTATTCATTTCTCGATACATGTATTCATCTCTCGATACATGTATTCATTTCTCGATACATGAAATTCTGAAATTCTAGGTTTTCTGGGGGTATATATATATGGGTACATGTATCAATACATGTATTCATTTCTCGATAC